AATAGTTTAACAACAGATGTGCGATAAAGCTATATTGTTTCAGTAACCGTTTGATGAGCCAGTTAATGTCTCTAATAATGCGCCATTGTTTATTTTATAACCCCAGCATATATTTTCATGTATTTTATGTTTTTGAAACACTGCTACACTACCTGACAAAAGTCTTGTCATCGATTCCAGATGTAAGAGCAACTAATAATAACTTGACTTCCAGTTGATCATTTGGGAAAGTGACAGAAGGCCGATTTTTCAGATGAATCATCTGTTGAACTGCATCCCAATCATCACAAATACTGCAAAAGTCCTACTGGAACCTGCGTGGACCCAAGATTCTCACAGATATCAGTCAAGTTTGGTGAAGGAAATATCATATTTTGGGGTTACATTCAGTATGAAGGCATGCAAGAGATGAGCATAGTGGATGGCAACAGCAACAGCCTGAGGTTACAAACCACAGGAGAGGGCAAATCTTTCAGCAGGATAGTGCTCCTTCTCATACTTGAGTCTCCACATTAAAGTTCCTGAATGCAGGTTCTGTACCAAAGTTAGGGACCCGGGGGTGTTTACAAACTGTGCTAAAGAGGGGGGAGGGTGAAATTACGGGAGTTTTCCGTAAAAAAATTGAAAAAAGGGATGGTTGCGGGAGATTGGTCTTGAATACTGGATATTCCCTGGAAAAACGAGAGTGTTGGCAGGTATGCTCACCAGTTTAGTAATAATCTGATCAGCTGTACTTACAAATCAGGCTGGTTTAATCTTCTAAGCACTAGGGCTTATTATGAGGTTCTGTTGCCATCTTGTGAATAGAAAACATCAACCATCTTAGGTCTACTCTATGGTAGGCTAATGGTCACCGACAACTCTCTCAGAAATTGTAAATATTTTAAGATAGGCACTATCCTTATAATAAACAGCATAGTTGCAATCTAAACAACTACATTCTTGACTAAAAAAAGCCTCAAAAGTACATTATGTTGTTCAGCAGCAGAATTATTTGTCAAACTGTAGAGTGTCTCTCTGCTTATTGCTGACTGTATATGGGCGGAGTAATACCCAAAGGTGAAGGGTGAAGAGGCCTTTGTGTAATGTTACTTGCAAAATATCAGGTTCTGTACCAAAGTTAGGGTCCCAGGGGTGTTTACGAACTGTACCAAAGAGGGGGGAGGGTGAAATTACGGGAGTTTTCCGGAAAAAAATTGAAAAAGGGATGGTTGCGGGAGATTGGTCTTGAATACTGGATATTCCCTGGAAAAACGAGAGTGTTGGCAGGTATGCTCACCAGTTTAGTAATAATCTGATCAGCTGTACTTACAAATCAGGCTGGTTTAATCTTCTAAGCACTAGGGCTTATTATGAGGTTCTGTTGCCATCTTGTGAATAGAAAACATCAACCATCTTAGGTCTACTCTATGGTAGGCTAATGGTCACAGACAAGCTCTCTTTAGAAATTGTAAATATTTTAAGATAGGCATTATCCTTATAATAAACAGCATAGTTGCAATCTAAACAACTACATTCTTGACTAAAAAAGCATAAAAAATACATTATGTTGTTCAGCAGCAGTATTATTTGTCAAACTGTAGAGTGTCTCTCTGCTTATTGCCGACTTGTATGGGCGGAGTAATACCCAAAGGTGAAGGGTGAAGAGGCCTTTGTGTAATGTTACTGGCAAAATATCAGGTTCTGTACCAAAGTTAGGGTCCCAGGGATGTTTACGAACTGTACCAAAGAGGGGGGAGGGTGAAATTACGGGAGTTGTCCGGAAGAAATAAAAAACGGGATAGTTCCGGGAGATTGGTCTGGAATACGGGAAACTCCCTGGAAAAACGAGAGTGTTGGCAGGTATGCTTACCCGTTTAATAATAATCTGATCAGCTGTTCTTAGAAATCAGGCTGGTTTAATCTTCTAAGCGCTAGGGCGTATTATGAGGTTCTGTTGCCATCTTGTGAATAGAAAACATCAACCATCTTAGGTCTACTCTATAGGCTAATGGCCGCTGAAGAGCTCTCTCAGAAATTGTAAATATTTTAAAATAGGCTCTATCCTTATAATAAACAGCATAGTTGCAATCCAAACAACAACATTCTTGACTAAAAAAAGCCTCAAAAGTACATTATGTTGTTCAGCAGCAGAATTATTTGTCAAACTGTAGAGTGTCTCTCTGCTTATTGCTGACTGTATATGGGCGGAGTAATACCCAAAGATGAAGGGTGAAGAGGCCTTTGTGTAATGTTACTGGCAAAATAGCAGGTTCTGTAGGGATGTTTACGAACTGTACCAAAGAGGGAGGAGGGTGAAATTACGGGAGTTGTCCGGAAGAAATAAAAAACGGGATAGTTCCGGGAGATTGGTCTGGAATACGGGATACTCCCTGGAAAAACGAGAGTGTTGGCAGGTATGCTCACCAGTTTAGTAATAATCTGATCAGCTGTACTTACAAATCAGGCTGGTTTAATCTTCTAAGCACTAGGGCTTATTATGAGGTTCTGTTGCCATCTTGTGAATAGAAAACATCAACCATCTTAGGTCTACTCTATGGTAGGCTAATGGTCACCGACGAGCTCTCTCAGAAATTGTAAATATTTTAGGATAGGCATTATCCTTTATAATAAACAGCATAGTTGCAATCTAAACAACTACATTCTTGACTAAAAAAAGCCTCAAAAGTACATTATGTTGTCCAACAGCAGTATTATTTGTCAAACTGTTGAGCTTATTGCTGACTGTATATAGGCGGATTATTACACAAAGGTGAAGGGTGAAGGGGGCTTTGTGTAATGTTACTGGCAAAATATTACACTGCTATTAGCCAATCAGATTCAAGAACCAGACAGAACTGCTGTGTATGTGTGTATATGTATGTATATGTATGTATATATATATATATATATATATATATATATATATATATATATATATATATATATATATATATATATATATATATATATATATATTTATATATTTATATATTTATTTATTTATAGACTAGGCTCTGTCTACATACCAAAAAAGATCTGTCTGTGTGACCCTAGAGAGGAAGAGAGATATAGTGCTGAAGAAAAGAAACACACAAAGAAAGAGAGAGAGACTTTAATGAGTCCTTGTAATGGGTGTCCCAGTAAACAGGCTCCGTCTACTGTTATCTCCAGGCTAATGATGTCTGCCGCGCTATTCAATTAGGACAGGAACAAGGTCACTAACAGCTCAGGCCTTAAAGAGTTTAATGCCGCCCTCGCCACTAGACTTCCACTCCATTAGTCTGAGTTGAGTCCAATAAAAACGTCAGGCCGCAGCCGCATATTACTTTCTGCTCTATTTGCATGCATTCTGGTTTAAAGTTCACACGTCCACTCAGTGTCTGCTTGTCTTCGATTCTCATATTCTGCGAGGGTGCAAGATGTATTGTTAGATCTGCTGCCAAATATTCAGCAAGATAATTTGCTCTGTTTTTAACTCCTCATGAACGAATTTCCCTTGCATAAAAAAAAACACAAAAAAAAAGGATTTGTTTTGTCCCGAAAGTGCAATTTATTATTTCCCACAACACATAATTTATGCTTATTTTGGCATTTAGAAATGAAAAAGCCCCAAGGATTTTCTGAACTTTAGACTTTATTTAACCAATAAATCTTTTAGCGTTGCTGCAAGGAGAAACAAGAAGTCACATGCTGTTTCTTTGTTTAATAAAAAATAAAGATTGATTGATTTTAAAGGAGAGTAATGATTTTTTTTTTTTTAGCGGGAAGTATTCATTCAATGTAAATCAGATGTGTACTGTATATATAATAATATTTACACTTTCTATGTCGTGTTAAGGAAATGTATAATATGTATAATTTTATGTGTCGAATATCTCAAGTAATACAGTAACAACGGTTTAAAGTTACACCACACTAAAGGATCCTAAGTATTTGCAAAACAAATGTATGTTTTTTTTGTTATTTGTTTATTTATGATTGTATGTTATTATATGTTTATTTTGTATTTTGTGATTTGTTATGTTTTTGAGTCTGAAATAAAATAAATAATATTTATTAATACTAAACAATATTATAAATTGATTTTAAAGTAAGTATTATTAATGTAATATTTATGTCTTTATAATTATTTTACTCTTATTAATAATTTTTATTTTGCTGAAATATAGAATATATAGTAAATATAGTATACATTTAACTACTACTACTACTACTACTTCTACTACTACTACAGCAAATTATTATTATTATTATTATTATTATTATTATTATTATTATTATTATTATTATTATTATTATTATTATTATTATTATTATTATTATATACGCCCTTAAACTGTAACTATTTCCATCAAAGAAAAAAATATATAATAATAAACTAAAAGTCTAAAATAAAGGAAATAATATTTATTAGGAATTTTAAATTATCTATCCTTTTTAAATGTCTATAATTCTTATATTTTTTAAATATTTTTATTAGCTAAAGTATGTACTATAAAGTAAATATAATAATAATAATAATAATAATAATAATAGTAATAATAATAATAGTAATAACAATAATAATAATAATAAATTAGGAGTCTGGGATAAAGAAAATTATATTTATAAATATAAAAAATATTTTAAGTAATTTTAAAATGTCTTTATAATTATTTTATTCTTTTTAAATACTTTTATTTAGCTAAATCAAATAATATAAATTAAATATAGCATAAATACAATATAATAATAATAATAAGTATTATTATTATTATTATTATTATTATTATTATATACTCCTTTAAATTGTAACTATTTTCATGAAATAAATGAAAAATCCTCCCAGTCCCAAACTTTGAACAATAGTGCCATATAAGTTGACACTTTTGTACAAGAAGGTTGGCAGCATTTGTTTTAGGCCAACAGCAGTTTCCCAGGAGGTTCTGCTCACTGACACACAACTGTCCTTGACTAACCTCCCATTTGCATTCATCGACTCACATGCTTTCTCTCTCTTTGTCCATGTCTTTCTGTAGGAGCTGGTGGGAAGTAACCCTCCGCAGAGGAACTGGAAGGGAATAGCGATCGCACTGCTTGTTATTCTGGTCATCTGCTCTCTGATCGTCACCTCTGTCATTCTGCTGACTCCAGGTACGCAGCCTGGGAGCAAAGGCCCCGGGGCCAAGAGCCTCTAGGCCATAGTACAAACATACACAAACGTACACTTATAATGCTGCAAACAAACCAAGTGTCTACAGATGCAGACTCTCAGTTCACTACATTCTGCCAGAACTCCAATTTTCCGAAACGTCTTGCCTTGTTTCAGCTGGGACATGTTTGGGCAAATGTGGGATGATGATGATGATAATGTAAGCTGAAAAAATACTATATAATATGGCCACATTTACACACTTCATCGCTAAAAATGCACGACCATACACACACACACACACACACACACACACACTCTGGCATGCGCTGCAGTGTATGCACACATCTGGGCCCCATGCAGTCAGCAGGTGCTTTGAGCACACCTCCCCAGGTGAGAGCAGCGCATGTCAGACAGTTAATCAAGGATCTACCGCTGGATTTTATCATACTAAATTTGTTAAACATGATATTATATATTTATCTTGTCTCTATCTAAGAACTCTTTGGCATTTTGAATCTATTATTTGTTCTCAGGTAATGTGTTTTGGCTAAGTGCAAAGATCTCTGAGGGATATTTCCAGTACCTTATTGAATCTATGCCATGTAGGATTAAGGCAGTTCTGAAAGCAAAAAGGGGTCCAACCAGTACTAGTAAGGTGTAGCTAATAAAGTGGCCAGTGAGTGTATATCCAGGCATTATGAAGCATTTGTTAATTATATTTGTTTATAACTGCACTCATAAAATTAGTATGCAGAAACACTTTGACTTACATTCTCCCTTCGTACGTGTAATCAGAGGGGGAAGCCCCGCCCATCAGTGATAATTTCTCCCTCATTAGCATAAACAGCCCTGAGTGAGAAGCAGCCACCCGCCAATAGAGTTTTGAATCTGCCACTATGCTGACACATAGGCGTTTATAGCTCCATCCTCTTTTGAAAAGAATCTCAATTGAATTTAAAACGACAGTCACTAAGCACAATTTAAATCAAAGCCTAAAACGGGCAGTTTAAAAGAGTTATAAAACATAATTTGAGCTGAAACGTCACATAGGGACATCAGAAGCTTATTTTAGGAAAGGCTACTGTAGTTAGGTTGTATTTTGTATTTCTTTTTTTTCTGTATTTTTTCGACATGGTACCAAAAGAAGCAACTAAATTGTGTACCAAACAGGATTAAGCTTTCAAGGGTTTAACTGCAGTGTGTATGTGGGCAGTGAAGCCTGTTACTGGCCAATATAAATCTCCGCGTCCCCTTCCTCTCCGAAAGCCATTAAAATCTCCCAGCCGTGCTTTAATTAGTGTGCTGTGAATGCTGGTTTGCCTACATTAAGCCAGCAAGTTCAGACTTTGAAGAACTAATTGAGTAGTTTTGTCCGCGTTTCCGTTCATTTTTTTCTCTCTCTAATAATAAACGTAGTGGAAAATCTTTTAATGGGAGGCACAGATTGAGATAAGATAACCTGTTTGATTTGTTTTTATTCTCGCTGTGAACATGACTGGATGTTTGTGTGTGTGCGTCGCTACATTCTCTTTCCATGTGGACACCTTGTCTGGCTGCAGTCTTTTACTTCACATCTAAACTGGAGCAAGGGACGGTTCAGGCAGCCATGGTTAATAGAGGAGAGTGAATGGGCTCATGCCGTAGAGACTGAGCAGGTGGCATCTCTAGCTTGAGTCCTGACGCCTCTCCAAATCTGCAGGACAGCGTCTCAAAAATCTTTGCAGACTGCTGGGTGTAAAGCAGGTCACTTATATAAGTGCACCTGATTTGAGCAGGAAAGACTGCAAATTGCACACCATCAATAAGCCGTTGTATTTCTTTTTTAATAATGCGCATACAGATTAATCATCAGCAGTTGAGCGGATCATGTGGAGTCATTTCTGTATGGTTAATAAAAATAGTGGACGGCTAAAAAATATGCTATATAAAAGTTTTAATATGCTGTTTTTTACAGCATTGAAGGGATAGTTTACAGACAAAAAAGTAATCATTTTGTTTTTATTCACTCACCCATTACTTGTTCCAAACCTTTACGGGTTTCTTACTTATGTTAAACACAAATAAAGATATTTTAAAGAAAGCTGAGAAGTGGTAACCCTTAATTTCATTTGTAGGAAAAGCAAAGACATCTTGTTTTGATGTTTAACAGGAGAAAGAAACTCATAAAGGTTTGGAACCACTTGAGGGTGAGTAAATAGTGAGAACATTGAAATTTTTGGGCGAACTACCACTTTAAAACGATCAAAGCAAAATTTTTCTCAGAGAATGACAAGCTGTCACTCTAATACAAGTTTTATCTAAGGGGAAAATTACAAAGCACCTGCAGTGTTTGAGCGCTCTGTTTGTGTTTGTCTGAGATAATTAGTCTACCGAAATGTGCATATTCCATACAATCTGAACGGTCAGTTTTTGTCACGTGAGTCGTGGTGCACTTGTGGCATTCATTCAACTGGGTGCATTTGGAAGGCGCGAGCGCATCAAGGCTGATTTTTACGCCGCTTGTGCGTGCAAGACGCACACCTCCATTGGAAATAACGAACTTGCACGGACTCTAAAAAAGACGCAATATGTGAACGGCCACTAAAAGGCCGCCATCATTTACAATCTCCAGCAGTTGATCTTCTTGCAGAGACATGGTGGATTCATCTGATTAGTTGACAAATGGGTTGCTGATCCATTTCTTGGCAGTTTGCGGGTCTTTTACTAGGCCTTTTGCCCTTCACATACAAAGTTTCCAAAGAAACTAAAGTTTTCTGTTTCTTACTCATTTTGCTGCATGTGGGTTTAATTTGGGCACTCAAGTGACCGAGATGTAAGCGAGAGATTACAGACATTTTTCAAAATAAACGATTTTTTTAAAATAAAAGATCGTTCAGACTCAAGTAATAAACATAACAGAAATAATTAATTATTTATTGTGCAGCCCAGTACCGATTGATCCACGGACCAGTACCAGTCCACGGCCCGGTGGTTAAAGACCACTGTATTACAGTGCATCTGCTTGTTAAGTCGTGACATATGGAATACTGTTTCCAGGTCCAAGCTGCTACTTGATTTGAATTGAATTGAGAAAATATTTGTTTATGGTAAATGTTTTGTTATATCACATATTAAAGTGAATTTTATATAAAATCATGGAGTGCAAAACATGGAGTCTCTGGACATGCTGCATCACAGACAGAGGTGGGGATAGTATCCAAACTCTATACTCGAATAAAAGTACAAGGACTTGCGGAAATGTTTACTCAAGTAAAAGTAGCATTCTTAAAAGTTACTCGAGTAATAGTAAAAAAGTATCTGTTGAAAAAAATTATTTAAATAAATATTTACTAGTTACTTTTCATTATATATATATATATATATATATATATATATATATATATATATATATATATATATATATATATATATATATATACATACAACAGTTCTGTCTGGTTCTCAAATCTGATAGCTGTGTGATATTCTAAAATATCAGAACTCCTACAGCCTCATTACCCTTTGTGTATTACTCCGCCCACATACAACAAGCAAAAAGCAGACACTACAGATCTAAAGTTTAAAAGATGCACGCTCAACTGTTTAACTGTCAGCTGATTTGAATGATTTGAATCCGGAAGAAAGTAGTTCCTCATACAAAAGGGTTTTTGAGACTCTCCATGTTTGATTTTTGTTTTTATGTTCACAATTATGCCGTCAAACTGTTGTATAAACGCAATATCACACTCGTAGCAGTGCGACATGGCTGTATATCGGCACTGGTGGGGGCACTAAGGCACTTGGCCTCTTATATTATCTTATATAATAAGATAATATATATATATGGTCTTATATATATATATATATATATATATATATATATATATATATATATATATATATATATATATATAATGCATTTTCTTCTGGTGAAAGTCTTACTTGTTTTATATCTGGTAAAAAATACAGTTTTTAATGTTTTTAAAGCCATTTTAAGGTCAATATTATTAACCCCCTTAAGCAATATCTTTTTTGATGGTCTACAGAACAAACTATCAGTTAAGCCTTTAAATGTCACTTTAAGCTGAATACTAATATCTTGAAAAAATTCTAGTAAAATAGTATGTTCTGTCATCATGGCAAAGATATGTGTTGTGTTGATGACATCTTCTTTTTGTTAAACACAAATTGTGGAAAATATACAGAGTGGCTAATAATTCTGACCTGGTCCGATAAACTCACTGCACAGACAGCTTAACTGTCCTCTCAGAACTGCAGATGACCATGGTGTGACCGCAGTATAAACTCGCATGTCTTCCTCGACTTCAGCCATCATTCCAACATAAGCACACATGCTCCAACCGAAAGTGGGAGACGCGTCTCTATAGCAACCTCTCGCCACAAGAGAGGTAAAAGTACAGAGTAAAAGTACACATTTCTAAATGTACTCAAATAGTACAGGTTACCCAACAGTTTTACTCAAGAAAATGTAACAAAGTAAATGTAATTCATTACTACCCACCTCTGATCACAGATGCCATCATTTTAACAAATCACTGGCATGGATATATCTATATATTTATATATCTATATATCTATATATATCACTGGCAAGTATTACATTCCTTTGTAGACATTTATTATCATTTGTTGAGTCTTCCCATACAGAACCCAGAAGCTTTGAGTGACACTTACCGAGCAGATTGCAACACAATACTTAACAGTTATTAGTACTTCCAAAGATTTATCAATCTCTTTATTAATCTGGGTTCCCTTTTATTCATCAGGGATCGCCACAGCTGAATGAACCGCCAACTTATCCAGCATATGTTATACGCAGTGGATGCCTTTCCAGCTGCAACCATCTCTGGGAAACATTCATGCACACTCATTCACACATATACACTACAGCCAATTTATCTTAGCCTATACCACATGTCTTTGGACTTGTGGGATAAACCGGACCACTTGGAGGAAACCCACGCGAACATGGGGACTACATGCAAACTCCACACAGAAA